TGAGGGTACTACGTAGCATGAGTACAGGAATCAGAGTCCAGCCCGAAATTATTGGACTCACTTGCCACTGACAGACTACAAAAGCCCAGAAGCACCACCCATATTCATTTCCTTGAATTAGTCTATGTCCTTGCCAGGAAAAGTACATTCTACTATTATCAAACTCCACCGTATTTGGTCATTGTGTGGGAGGATCATGCTGATTGAGCCAAAAGAAGTTTCTACTGCTTCTTGCAGAGGATAAGATGGTGGCACCATTTTCCTAGGCTGCGGTGTATACAAGGGGCATGTACAATCTATTCTGCAGAGAGCACTGTTCTTGTGGCTTTCATGTCACCTTCATTATTTTACTGGAGACAATCTGAACCTGTCATAGCATAGGGGAGTGAGAAACCATTTTATTACCTCTATAGCTTGCTGATTTTGTTTGTTTGTTTGTTTGTTTGTTTGTTTGTTTGTTTGTTTGTTTTAAAGGATCAAAGCCTTATGCTAGATTTTTTTTTAATGCAGTGGTGAGAATGCAGCCTGAATATATGGGTCATTGGATCAGAGTTGTGGATTCAATGATGGAGCTTATAAAATTGCATCCTGCCAGAACTAGACCACTAGAGAGAAATATAAGAGAGATGTTATGCCTTAATGGTGTACATCAGTGGTTTTCAACCTGTGGTCCATAGACCACTGGGGATCCGCAGATTAGTCTAAGGGGTCTGCGAAAGGTTGTCGTTAACATAGAATAGTGGATTTCAACCTGTGATCCATGGACCCTTGGAGGTTGGCAGACTATGTCTAAGATTTCCAAAGGAGTCCGCACCTCTTTTTGAAATTTTTTAGGGGTTCATAAATGAAAAAAGGTTGAAAACCACTGAGGTATATGGTCTACACTCTAGGCTCGAGAGTATGGAAATAAACATTATGGCAAGAGATGGTTCTGAAATTACAGCCTCAAAGAAAGCAAGACTATAATGTTGTCCAGGGCCATCACGTTCTCCAGAATAGTGAGTAAAGGATGCTGGGATTTCCACATTGCTTTATGATATTTCTCTCATATCTGGAAATACCTGCTTAATACACAATGGCTAATGCTGTTAAACAGGCATTTACTCCAGCTCACCAGAGCTGAATCAGTGGTGGTTTCCTGTGGGATACCTTACTTCAAATTCTGCTTAGGGCATAAGTTAAAGTGTGGTTGGTGGTCTGATCCTGGGCCCAAGTATTGCTGCAGATTCTTCCTTCAAAGGAACTCAAAGGTATATATTGTACCTTTAAGTTGATATTAATGCAGTTGCCACTTGGAACCACATGAAACTCGCCTGGTTTGGAGTTACTATATAAACTCTAAACTCAGTCCAGCTGCGTCTCCAAGGTCTGCACACTTTTTGAGTAAACCTGGGCACAGATATGAAGAACGTGAGCTAATTTATGGCTCTGTGTCTAAAAGCTATAAAACTTGCAAAACAGGAAAAATCAGGTGGTTTGATTTGAACTCCTGGTTTACATATATGGTGCCATCCTTTTTAAACCTAAAACTTCTCTTTTCTTAACTGTCACGTCAGGGACTATTACATATGACATTTTGAGCAGAGTTATTCAATACAGTGTTAAGAGCTGTCGTACATTGGCTTATAGGATATAACAATGTGTCATGCCAGCTCTGCATAGTACATAATGTGTGCAGGTTTGCACAGATCATGAGGCATGCATTGTGAATGCAAAAGGAATTACTATAGTTTGACATTAGACTTTTAGTTGGTTGTTTTACATTGCTTTTTTGCTGAGTACATACAGAAAGAGAATTTAGGCTCTAACTTGTTGAGCAAGGTTAGGCCAATTAAAGATTCCAATGCCAAGAAGACTTCCAACGGTTAATCTGTCTCAGAGGATAGTAACTCCCATGCTTAAAAGCTCCAGCAAACTGTTCAGTGAAAGCCTTTATACAGTCCAAAACCAGTCAGCTCTACCACAGAAAAAGGAAGGCCAGATTAGACAACAAGGATAAAATTTTCAAAAGTGCCTTAGTGATTTAGGAGTCTAAGTCCCATTTTCAAAAGCATCTAAGTCCGAGGTGTCTCAGTGCCATTGACTTTTGGGAGATGTAAGGGATGGGAGATGTAGCCCAGCAGGGGGACCTAGCTCCAGAGAAGAATGGGGGTATGAGGCATTACAGCTGCCATGAGGCACCATGATGGTACTTCTGAATCCATTTTTTTTTTGTTCTTGAATGAAAGCCCAAAACTTTCTGTGTTCAGTTTTTAACACAAAGTTGACATTTTTCTCTAGAGAGCAGACATTTTTCACAAAAAATTCATTTTGTTAGAAGCCCAATTTTCCATCCAAAAAACAGTTTGGATGGAAAATTTTCAACCAGCCCTAATTATGAGCACACTACCTTTCACTTTAATGCACATTAGCTAAAAGAAATTGGGGCCCAGTCAAACTCCATTAAGAAGCCTAGCAGGCAGCCACCTGTTCCCTTTCCCAACACAGCTCCATAGGATCAAACTAGGGAGAAACTACAGAGAGGAATGAAACCAAGCTAGTGAGATCTCACTGAAACTGAGGTCTAAGAATGTCTGCACTGAGTAGGCCTATGCTTGCTGGGTTACAGATAAGACAAGGAGCAAAGACATTTGGTTTCCACCAGGAAGCAGAATAGTGAGGAACCATCTATACAAGAGCTACAGCAGCACTGCTGCAGCACTGCCGCTGTACCCCTGTAGTGTAGACACTTACTACAGTGACAGAAGGGGTTTTTCCAACACTAGTAAAGCTACTCCTTTGAGAGGTGGTAGCTAGGTCAACAGAAGAATTCTTCTGTTGACCTAGCTGCATCTACAGTGGGGGTTAGGTCAATCTAGCTACATTGGACATTAAATTTTTCAAAGCCCTGAGTGATTAGCTAGGCCGATCAACATTTTAAGGGTAGACCAGGCTGGCCTGATACTTTTGGTAAGTGTGCGGAGAGACTCATGGCTTGCCTATATGGGGACAACCAGACAAGTTAAGGTGAATCAACTAAAGATGTGAAGTCAAAGCATGTAAATTAAAGACTGTTAAACCCCATATGGCTGCTTTCACTCAGGAGTAGAGTAGCCTTAGTTCATGTAACTTACTCCTGAATGAGCGCATCCACACAGGGTTTTAATGAAATTTCACTTATGTGCATTGACTTCACACCTTTCATTGATTCACCTTTACTTTCCTGAGTATCCCTGTGTAGACAAGGCCTCAGAGACACTTGTATGCAATGTTATCAAACTCTGGAACAACTCAGGCTTGGGCCAGCATACAGAATCATCCATTCATCATTCCAAATATACAGAGGTCTACTTGGATACATTAACTGGGTATGTGTAATTTCTCTGCTTGTCTATATGTTGTTTTTATGCAGTCCTGGGGCGTGTATTCAAACAAAGTGCACATTACAAAAGCTTTACTTTATGCTGTATTAAGATCTAAATGCTTGAAATATTTTTAAGACTTCTTTGAGGCTTGTTCGGACTGTGCTGCATTTTATTGAGTAGCGTGTTTAATTTTATGAGTCCATCAGAGGTATTCTAATGTAAATAATATTTGAAAAAGATGCTGATCATTAAGCTGCAAAATTACAAGCTTTTTTTAAAAGCACCCTATTACCGTGTTCAAATACCCCAGCATTAGTAAGCTTGGAAACCTCTTAGAACTAAGTATGCATTTTTAAATAATGCACATTGTTCAACTGTAGTTACCAAATTCCACTCTGACATTTAGTACTTAAAGAGTTTAGAGAATCCAGACTCTCTTATCAACTTCCAGACAAGGGCACCAAATGTCATGTAGGCTTCCTTTGACTTGTAGCCACAAGCTACACATAGCATTTAATATAGTCTATGGTTAAGTGCTTAAGGTATTAGGGAAATCTGGAAACAAAGTACATTGCCATTAGCAAAACTGGTGCTGACTTTTCATATTCTACAGTTATGGATTGGTCTTTGTCAACACTTTTGGGACAAGAGAAAGTTTGCTGCCTGTAATTTCTTCACAGGATGCAAGAGACGGACAACATTTAAAATGAATGTTCTGACATTCAGGTGTTTCCATTTTCAAACCATATGTTGCTTATTTAATTAAATACTTATCTTATTTTTTTTTAAATGCCACAGCTTTTAATTAGGAAATCAGAATATGGAACATATAATTAAAGGTGTATCAAAAAAAGATCCTTGTACTTAAATCACAGTAATTATTCAAGAATAATTTATGTGTATTTACTTTAAAAAATATTAATTGTAGGACTAAATTCACCATATCTTAAAGTCCAAACCTAGAAAATTGGGAAGGGAAGATGGCAAAATTATCAAACCATCTCTATTTCTTTTTATTGCAGATTTATTTATTCTTTTATTGCACATTCATAAAAGTCAAAAGTATAGGCATTAAAAATGTTATAGAATGATTAGCTACTAAAAGAAAATAGATAAATATGCCTTGAAAGACATTGGGGATAAAAGCTACAAAAAGAAAAGTCTTTGTCATGCATATTTAACTCTAATGCCCTGGATTAGAGTAAATTTGAAAGTAATATATTTAAAGATTATGGATAAATCATAAACCATAAGAGAAAAATGCAAATGGATCATTAGTAATATGCCACAAACAATGAACAACCCCCAATAGATGCAAAACTTCTAAAAGGCTCACATAAATTATGTTCCAGTTCATATTTGTAGCCCTAGGAGCATCCCTACGCCAGAAGGCAAGGGACTTCCTGGTATCTAGCAGTGAGTTTCAGTCGGCCTGACCAGCTCAGAGTACATGAACTCACTGTTGTTATAATGTGTATCTAAAAGGTGTCATGTAATATGTCATTGGAAAATTGATAACTCACTGATCAGTAATATTCCTGTATGATATATGTATAATAAACCCACAAAGGATTATATAGATATGCTGGAATTGTGATTAAAATGTGTTTAAACCAGACATGTTGGGGAGAGTTAAAAAAACAGTTTTTTTTCCAGGCAAAGGAATGTGGTTCCTGCTTGAATGTGTCTCCCATGTAAATTGAGCAAGGTGTGACCAAAGACAAAGGAAAGCACATTTGCATGCCGGGCAAACAAAGCTATCAGGAGAGCAAGTAGGGGGAAAAAGTGATCACTTAACAAGCTCAACGGGGGATGGAGACTGCACCCCCAGGAAGTCATCCTGCCTCTTGAAGCAGGGTCAGTGAACTTCAAGAGAGATACTTTTCAAACGTTTACTGGACTATAAAGAGAGGGGCAGAGAGCCCTTAAGTTATCCTTCACCTGAGGAGACAGGGGAAACCAGCACCTTGAACTCTGTGGGGATCCTGACTAAGAGCTAATCAGCCATTGCTGGAAAGGAAGACTGGTGAGGAAACAACCTTGAACAAAGACTTTAGTTTGTTACGTTATGTCTTAGCCATTAGAAAGTGTATTTTTACTTTTCTTTGTTTGTAACCCTTTCTTCCGTCTATTTGGCAACACACAACTATGTCCTTTTGTTAATAAACTTGTTTTATTTTTACTATAAATCAACTCTGTGTTTGAAGGGAAAGGTGTGTTTACCCCAGTTACGTTAAGAAGCTGCAATGTACGGACTCTTTAAAGGAGCAGTGAACCGACTGTCTTCTGTGAATGTTCAGTGTTAGGAGCTGTGCACTGTAAAGAGAGATCTCTGAGGAACTCAGGCACTGGAGTTCACAGATTGTTACCTGCTAGGCGAGGGTTGGGCTGGGAGTGCCCTGAGGAGTTTGCTAGCAAGGCAGACAAGCTGGGGTATCAGGGAGTTGTCTTGGCCTAGATGCAGCAAAGCTCTCACTTACTGAGGCTGAGAGGGGTAGCACAGTGTCTTATGGCTGTGGGTATTCACAGCAGGTGTTACAGTCTCCAAAACCTTTTATTTCCTCTCCTTTCTCCATACCGTATTATGACTAACCGTTAACTTCTACTCTACCCTTTCCCATGCTCACCAATTAATCCCTCCCTACCTTCTACCCAGATGCCCCTTCTCCCTTGACAACTGCTACCAAAAATATCACCCTCCCTGCTTTCAACCAAAATCCCAACATGAGGGTGCTATAGCAACACTTAGATATTACACTAACAGGTGCTCTAGAAAGATCTATCTGATAAAGAACTAAATTCCCAGAATTGTTCTTGTCCCATTCTTCTCTATTTCTCCCACTCAGCCTTGTTCCCATGACAACCTCTCAACCCAGTGTGACCCAGGGACCTCTTGGTGCCAACAGGCAGAGGGGGTGCACAGGCGGTGCACAGGGTTTTACAGGGATCCCCTGGATCAGATATAGGCATAATAATTCGCCAAAAAGTGGCATGTGAGGTCTCTACCAAGAGCCAGTAGCCCATTGGTCATCATAATCACTGTGAAATATCTATACAGATAATACTGTTTGTACTGAAAATTATGTTCTTAAGATCTTGGAGTTAAGACAGGTCACCAGGAAGTGACATGCCCCTTTCAGGCAGGAGGTATCAGACACTTATATCCCTTTCTGGTCATATGTGTATTGCATAGTGTCTGCCTCACAGTGGAAGTCTCTTTGCAAGTGCCTGTCGAAAGGATGCAAAATCAGAGAGAAAATCCACAGGAAGAATCAAAACAGCAGCGGGGTGTCCTGCTCACGAATAAAGACAAAGGATGGGCCTTGTATATCTTAGGAGGCAAAGGAACACACTAAGTCCCTCACCTAGGAAACAAGCTGACAAGGTGTCTGTCTCATGAAAGAAGGTCCACAACCAAGTCTGGCTTGAAGACGCTGCAAGAACTTTGGGTGAGCATTACTGGACAAGACATGAGAGTCTCTAGTTATTTAAGTCTAGGTTCCAAAATGGGTGTTATGATTTTATTTTATAGGTAGCCGTTTGTTTCCAATACGTCTATGCAATTTCTTGCATCTCAGTGTGTTGTTAACTAAACTTACACTTGATTTCAATATAATCATATCTAAGTGTGTTTAGCGGTGCAGTGATTTGAGGTAGTGCCGTTAAGCTGGGCTGGACTGTTTCTTTGGAAGCAGCGAATCTGTGAATGCTGTGAGTGTCCAATGGAACAGGGGCTGGACACTACAGCGAGATGGTCAACAGGCTCAAGGGTTGAATTAGGCCTAGCACTAAATTGTAGAGAAACAGCGGGGCCTGCAAGGCATAGCGGGGACTGCTTGTGTTGCACATAGCCCGTGGAGTTGGGGAGCTGAACTTTAGCAAGCACAGACAAGGTTTCCTCATGCTAAAGGCAGGTGGTTGTTGTTTATGAGGTGCCTCATACCCCTGGATACACCCCAGGAAGCATCACACCCAATAATCCCCAAACCTAGCCCCGCCCTCTAACCTTGCATCCTCCACTCTGCATTGCTTCCCCAAAGTGTGTATAAATATACAAAACTCCCATTGATTTCAGTGTGGCCAGGGCTTCACCCATGAAGGATGCCTTCAAGCAAAGAAGCACCATGGACTGTAAGCTGTTGGAGCAGACGGTAAAGGCAAAAGTGGCAGGCAGAAGTGAAAATGAGCGCAAAGCTAATGGAATTTAGGAAAGGAGGATTTCTGGATGCAGAGAAACTGGAGCAGGTTTGAGCTAGAGCAGTTATCTTGGGGAAGAAGATCTTGTGATGGGCAGCTATAGTTAAGTGGAGAAGCAAAAGGGAGGGGAGCACTTGCAAGGAGGTTGCAGGCGAGCAGGAGCTGGCATCTAAGGGGAAGCTCACTGGGAGAAAGGTCCATAATGTGAGACATTTCGACTTAATTTAAGAGACTTGGGATCGTGCTTCTCTATGTGCTCCCCCATCTCAGGAGCAGTGATGTTACTACTAAGAATAACCCACCATAGAGAAATAATTTTCCCAGCTAACCAATCCAAGTAAACAAATTAATAATAAATAATATAATAATAATAAAATATATTAAATAAAATATAATAATAATAATAATTAATAATGCTAGTAAGACAACCCGGCACTTATATTTGTATACAGTCCTCCATCCAGAAGGATCCCCTCACACTTTACATATAGACATTCCACTACTGAATTGTAGCCACCACTGGGTGTTTAACACTACTCAGCAATGCTGCCCAAAGACTGAGCACAGAAGGTGAAGAATATTATACACCATTAAAACTACAGGGCAGCAGGAGAGGGAGAAAGAAAGAGGGAGAGGTTTATTAGACAGAACATATAATTAGTCAAACTAGGAACTGAGTAGGACACAGCGGTTAAAGTTTCTACAGTTGCAAAAAGTGCCCTGGGATCTTTAATGAACACAAATTGTCATGATATGTCTAGACTGGAGTAAAATGTTCAAAAGTGTCAATGACACTCAGGCTACTAAGTGCTTAAGTCTCTTTTGAAAATGAGACTTGGGTGCTTTTGAAAATTAAGTCCCGGTTAAATGGATTGTGTTTAAAATCATGTTAGCTAACCTGGTTTCAAATAGGATTTTCTGCCTATTATGATCAGGGCAAGTCATGTTCAAAAATGTGTCAGTCGTGGTCAACACCAGGCTACCCACTAGCATTCACCATAACTAGCTAACATGTTTAAAAGTCATTGTATTGGTCTACGGTAGGTGATAAGAGGTTTTTAAAACCATCTTAATTAATTTAATAATAAATTTTAAAACAACACCCATTTCCCCAGTCTAGACAAATTCTAAAAGAGAGCACTACAGTGAACCCTGACACCAGGCTGGTGCATTGACTCATTACTGACTCAGAGGGAAAAGCGACACCAACCGAACCATCACCATCATTACTTATAACAACATCCTGGTTTATTTTTTCCTGGGGGAAGTAGTTCCGCCCAATGTCATCTATTACTCAGAAATGTTGGGGCGGAGGGGGTGGGGAAAAGTGAACAACACCAACACTTTTGTTGTTCCCAAGCTTTCAATTGTTTTAAAAATAAAATTTCAAGATAATTGTAGCAGTTTTATTTGCAATACTTGGAACCAACAACTGGCACACAGTTATTTTAAAGAGTGGCACTTTAAGACCAAAAGTGTAACACATGGGTGCAACAACACACTTTCGAAGTGCACATTTCTAAAACACTGCCCACTGCCTTGATTTAGCTGGAACTAATTGGCAGTATATTGCCAAAAATTAAGGCACATTGTTTTTTTTAAATCTCTTCTTTAACAGATTTGACTTATTGTCTAATTGTATAACTGGAAAATAGAACTAATCCCATCAATGTTAGAGATTAATGATAGCAAAATAGTGAGCATTAGTTTACTTCCCTCCTACACTAACTCTCAGGGGCCTAGCTAGCTCTTTGGCACTGAAGACCCAACTAAAATGGATGGAATCTTTCTGAAATGCTAAGCAACAAGGTATAGTTCTTGTAGGTCACCTAAAACTCATCTAAGAAAGAAAATAACTGTTGTGGGTGTTTATAAGAGTCAAGAGGAAAATTTGTTGGAGAACTATGCCTGTAACGAAACTGCCTGATGGAAATATATATTTACTCTCCCAATATGGGTTTCTTACTTTCTTTTGTGTATTTTGACATGTACAAGAAAGAAGTATAATTCAATTACCCCTTTCAGTATTAGATTATTCTGACATTGTCTATTCTATTACTTCTCCTACAAATTTGAAAGGGGCAGAATACTGTTTTTAATTCTGTCGGTTTCTGATTCCCTGCAATTATATTGAACATAATTGTTTTCTGTGTATTTAGGGCTTTCTCCACAAATGTTCTCCTAGGCTGATCTTTGTATATAAATGTATATACAAATAAAGTCTGGAATATTTCATGCAACATATGAAAACTCTTTTCTAGTACACATGTGAATCTCAAAATCAATTTAATTTATATTGCAAGAGCTAAGATTTTAAATTGAGATATGTATGTACTTAGATATCCCAGTCTTGCAAAATTAACTACTGTTGCACTTGCAAACATATACAAAGTAACTAATTTTACAACACCTGCACACTGGAAATCAAACTCTTTTGTCACTTCTGCATTCAGACATAGAACATTAACACCTCAGACTAACCTTCCTTCATTTATTGGATTCTTTAGTTTCTGCATGTTTAAAAGTATTTCTATCTAGTTACATCAAACAAAGAAACAGCCACTATAATGAATCCTAGATCAATTTTTCAATATTTATGGTTGTATCTGGGCAAACCATGGAAAAATTATGGATGTTTTTACAAATTCTGTATTGCTGTTTGATTCAGCCATGTTCACAATCCTTTTTGTTATCTTTTCCATTTATAGCTGTGTGAATATGTTTTGCTCAGATAAATGATGGGGAATGGCTGTCCCAAAACCTGCATTTGCAAACAGTCCAAATAAAAATCACTTCCCATCTCAATCAGGTTTCCCTTCCTAGTACTGTGATGTCATAATCCTACTATTCCTCCAGTGATCCATAGAGTCTTCTAGGGTAGATAAGACCTTAATTTCTAATGTAAAAAGCAAGCAGAACAATATTTTTTTAATCCCAAACTTCCAGGCCTTCTTTATACATCATCAAGAAGCAAAAAAGGGCAACCACCACTTTTTTTTATAAGCAGGTCACAATTTAAGGTCAAAGCAGTCACAGCACAAAACATGTTTTCTAAGGAGGAGTGTCGGCTTTTGTCAGTGAGATACATGTAAATCATATGTAAACAGAAATTAACCTTATGGCCAAGAACAGAAATATTTTGGTTTAAAAAAATCACAGATACATAAAGGAAGTAAACTTTAAAATTTGCAGTAGGTAGGAGTAAATTTATACCATCTGGAAAAATCTGGAAAAACTTATTGAAAGAATTCTACTCATGATTCTTTTGCTATGTACTATCCAAGTATTTTTGACAAGATTTATTCATATTAGTGCAAGAAGCCAATTCCACTGGGCCCTTGTTCAAACATTTGTAGATGAAAAAGGTTACCCTATGTAAATACCTTTTCTTAAGTAAAATAAAGTAAAACAGTACTGAAATCCAACAGCTAGAATTCATACACTTATGGTCACAGTATCGTACTCAAATGGCATGTTGCTATCATAGGGCCTCTTCTGTGGATCCCAAAAACCATAAAAATGGCTGCTTAAATAATAAATAGGGAAGTGCATCTTGCTCAATAAGACCGTTAACATTTTTTTTTAACTATCTTGTTTTAGCCTTTAGAAATGTTATGCATTCGTCCTAGAAACATCAAGATGATCCTGTAGCCAAACTCAGGTAGTCAGGTCATATAAATTAAGTGAATTGTTGCTGTGACCACTCACCATTTTGCACAAGCAGGGCAGTGGATGTAAGACTGGGAGGTCTGTACTAGAGAACTCCGAGACATACAGGTTTTGATGCTTTTCTCTTCCTACACAGTCTGTCACAATGTTTGTTGTCACTTTTCTCCCTCACCTGTTTTTCCCTTCCCTGTTCCCTATCCAGTCCATCTGGTTTTAAAGCTTACCTGTTTCTGGTTGCTCCTATGTACTAAAAACTGTCTATTTGGAGAAATAATTCAAAATGGTAGACAGGCCATTTACAAATGAGCCCTTCCCAGGGGGATAAATTAATGAGGAGGTGGAGCGAAGGTGGAATGATATGATTTATTGGGGAGAAAACTGTGACCTTGTTCTGGCCTGTGATAGGTATTCAGAGGAAACCCCAGCTGATGTAGGATCAAAGGTCACAAATCCCAAATAAGTCAATGAGAGTCAAAACTCCCACTGACTTCAACCAGGCCAGGATTTCACCCCATTTTTTTAAAATCTGGGCTTTAGTACTTAGTCAACATTTCCTCTTCCTTGTTTATCTCCTGATTGCATTTAAAATGTAGGATCTGGAAGATTAATCGGAGTTCCTAAAACCTACTAATTAATTATTAAATATTCAATTAATTATAAAAGATAAAACAATCATTCTCAATGAAATGTTACACATTAATAACTAATACTGGATTTCATAATTCCTTATACTTATTTCCCGTTACCTATAATCTTATTTCTCTGACTGCAGGAGTTAATTGACCACAGCACAATCAATGTATAGTGGTGGGCCATTAAAAAGTCATCATCATTTGCCAACAGTTACCCGAAAGCAGTATCTGAGCTTCTGCAATTATTCCCTGTGCTTAGAATAGGAAGTAACTGCATTAACTAAATGGCAGTACAGTATCTGCTCGCAAAAGCTGATTTTTTTAATGGTACCCAATATTTACCGAATTTGATTCTTTACTGTATTAACTGATGACATTGAGCTAGGATATAAAAAAAAACGGAGAAGCTACATCTCATTGACAATGGTGTGTGTATATGTGTGTGCGTGTGCCTACATGCAGAGCTATGCAAGTTAAATTTAAATTAGTTTGGCTGGACAATTAGATAAAGTATTCATGTAGGTGGAATTTCACAGTATTTTTAAAAGAAATTATTTAAAAAATATGTATTGTGTGTTCTCCCTGGCTGATAGAGATGAGCTATTAATTAATTAATATTTATTAATTTATTAACACATTTCATTTGCATCTTCCAATTAAAATATTTGTAATTGTTTTCAATGGTTTGCCCAGCTCCAGTTAAGACTCTTTATTTTGACTGTGAAGATGAAGGAGTGTAGATTAAGTCTAGCAGGCAGCTGAAGCTCAAAGCTAGGGAACAGTTTATCCATCAAATCAGAGTTCAAAGCAGAATGTGTTAATATAAAATAGCTGCTTAGAGAAATGAAATGACCCAGTCTTCAAAAATACAAATGTCTAAGCAGCTACATTGATATTTGCTTTGGTAACTGTACATTTTAATCTAAATGGAATATTCTTGCCTTTATCTGTTTACAAGTAGCCATTGCAACCTCATCACTAGTGGTACAGTCGATAGTTACTATGCCCTAGCCAGAAAGCTTCTCTGTTACAAGAAAATCAACATAATACAAGTTTGGTATAAAAAAATCCCCTCCCCAGCACTATTGTCAAACATATTCCATATGGTGAGAAACCTCTACGGATACCCTCTGCTCTCTTAACCCAGACATCGAGACTTTGTTTCTTTAATTCAGTACAGTGTACAGCTTTGGATAGGAAATCCTACCATCAGCACAAAAGGGAGCACAAAAGGGAGTAAAGCCTGCTTTGAATTAAAGACATTTTGCTAGTTAAGAACAATGTGAGATTGGATCTTGTCAGCTAGATCCCAAGCTCCAGCCAAACTATACAGTGGAGAGTGGAGGCAAAAGTGACCCTAAGCCTGGGAGCGGCCCTTGGTTACACCTGGCTGACCATGGCCCTACAGGTTTGCCCTGGAGCCAGAGTATTCTTATCATGGACTCCTTTCCCTCAGCATGGCCCACAATGCAGAGCCAGAGGACCTCAACTGGGCACATCTGCTGCATGTCCAGCGGGTTTGCACCACCATTGTATTGCAAATCAAACATAACAAGGCAAAGGATATGGCCTGTTGGACTGGATTCATACTAGGACACCAGAGTGATTTAAATATAGACATCCATAAAGACAATATGTACAATGAAGTCCCGGCTATCTAAAATGAGATCCAACACTACTTTATCATAGATCTAGACTTCACTGTATCTTATGTACACAGCAGTGTCTTCCTATTTCTGCTGCAAGAAAGCTGATAGATCCTTAGTGTCTAAATTAGTTGCATTTCTAGAGGTGGATATTAAAGGCAAAACCCAGAATAAAGCAAAGTATACTCCTGTGCTCCACATTTTTCCAATGAAATAGCATGTGGCTGGCTGCTGCAGTACTGTGGCAATTAATACCCATATGGTTCTTGCAATGAAAACACAAAGAAAGAAAATGAGAGAGCACTGCAAGGGAAAAATGGTTACCTACCTTTTGTAATTGTTGTTCTTTGAGATGTGTTGCTCATGTTCATTCCATTCTAGGTGTGGACGCGCCCAAGTGCGCAGTCGTCGGAGATTTTGCCTTAGCGGTATCGGTAGGGTCGGCTGTGGTGCCCTCCGGTTATGCAGCGGTATATCAGGCGCCGCCGGCCCTATGCTCTCCCAGTTCCTTCTTATCACCCATGGTGGTTAGTCAGTGTGCCTTCCCCTGCTTGGCAAGGGATAGCAGTTTTTCTCAAATGAACTTTGTGCCTTCAGAAATTTGAGCATTTTTGAAAATACAGGTAACATCAAAGGTGAGATGAGCTGTCCCCACCTCTCATCCACAAACTGCAATAACGAACCCAGGCCAACACAAGAAAGCATGTCATGGAACACCAGGAAACATTTCACTAAGAACAGGTCTCACCTTTTAGCTTTTGCCATTGTGAAGGGCAGACATAAAGAAGATTGTAGATTCCTTTTTCATACGCACCCAAAATATGGACACTGGTCTGAAAGCCATTTGTTCCTCTTTGGTTCAGATACTAGAATGGAAAACTCAGTGGAACAGCCCCTACAGAGAGAGCAATTTTCAATATTTTCTGAGACAGAAAAAAACTCTAAAATAGCACTTTTCTATTTCACATTCAGTACCAAGTTAAATCAGGAAATGATTTACAAAAAGACCCTACAATAAAGGCTGAAATATGCCATCAGGCTGTAAGTCTTTAACATCTATATTAGAAAAGAATATTTATGGATAGCTGAAGGATACATTTGATAACGTTCCATTAAACAAGTGTGAATCAGCATGGATTTATAACAGATAAATCATACTTGACAAGCATGGTTACTTTTTCTTTTTAGTGAAATAAAGTAGCGATCTAGATAGAGGGGAAGCAATAGCTTTAAATATATGTGGATCTTCACAAAACTATTGACAATTTCACATGATGGATCATTGCATAATTTCTCCAAATATAAGTTACGAGTTAATAAAATGAAATCAGAGCTCTGAAATAAAAGGCATAACAGTTCTTTCATCCAGTCTCCACAGTATGACAAGTTTAAGTAAGTCCCTTCTATTATTTTTTTGCAGGTCACCCATTGTTAAGTGTGGCAACAGCCATCACTTCTATTAGAAGACTGGGTTCCAAATGCTAGCCAGTCATGTTTACTCTTGTGTCTCTTTATGAATTCTGCTGATCATAGATAGAACTAGGAAAGCAAATCACACAACAATCTTGACTAGATTATTTTTTCAGCTAAGCTATTTCCTAGCTGCCAAGTCTGCCCTGTGCTATCTATTATATCCCAAAGGGAAAGGTTTCTCCTACAGTTACTGGGCTTCCCACATTACCTTTAGCCAAAAAGTAATACTAGTCTGTAAGTCTGAAGGGAACTAAAAGGTTTCTAAAGAACGAATGAACATGAATATACAGTACACTGATAGAGCTTCTGATCAAGTAAAGCCCTTACAAACATTTCCATAGTGCTTCCTCATTGAGAGGAAAAACTTAAACTTCATCTTTCACCTACTCCTGACATCCACACAAATGGATTGCTGCTCTGGTGGCTGGAGCTAACAATAAGCAATTGTTCATCAAAGTCTTCTCAGCCAATACGGTTACAGACATTACTTTAAAAATTACACCCTTGTTTTCTGAAAATAAAGCAGCCGTGTGTGTGTGTGTCTGTGTGTGTCTGTGTGCATGCATACACAAGTACATGTATATGTATGAGTACCCAAATAGATGTGTGTGTGCTGTGTATAAGATCTATATCTATATATAAACATTACAAGCATTTACTCATGCAATGTACTATATTCCATCCAGTTGGCATTAAGACAGCACAAGGACCTGTGTACCAATTATGACTTGTACACTGGGACCATGGGCAAAACAGCTTCCCAAAGGTGCTTGCACGTTCCTCTGATCTCCAGGAGGACCCATGAGAAGTCACATTAACACAGATCCAGTCAGCCACACAGCTGGTGTGGAGGGCTGTGGCCACTAGCGCAGCACATAGACTGAAAGAGCTGCCACAGTGGGGCAGCCCTGTGCCTTGGCATTAGTTTGGAGGAGATGGATCTAACCTGCTCACTTGTCCCACATCCATCAAGGAAGCACCTTATTGCTCAGGCTTTATGTGGGTTGAGCGGATTTTGCCCTGGTTGAATATTCAGCAGTGAAGAGTGTAAGAACGACACTTTTTATGAGGAATACATAATTCACACAAGCTGCTGTGAAAGCTAAGTGGTGAGGGAGTTGTGAAAGGGCTGTGCTGCACACAGAAACAAGGAACGGACAGAAGCATGCATGGTGGCAATAGGGGTAAGTGATTTATTAATGATGACCTAGAGATGGGTGAACATTACCACTGAGTATAGTGAGACACAGCTTTAGGGTGACCAGATGTCCCGATTTTTTTATATGGGCTCCTATTATCCCTCAACCCCGTCCCGATTTTTCACACTTGCTGTCTGGTCACCCTAAAGCTGTGTCTCA